GTAGACGTGAATGTGCTTTTCTTTACAAGGAAAAAAGGGGAAGTTCTCCAGCAGGAACGTCTCTCAGCGGCGCTCCTCATGCACTTCTCAGACGTTCTCAGATTTCTGAGATTTTCTCAGCGTGCTAATCTTTTTAAAGTTGGTTTGTAAAATATGTAGTTTTTAATATTTTTAAGAAATTAGACACCTTCTTTTATATTTTTAGTTCGTTAGTGAGATGATTTATGGTTGTGTTGTTTGTAATGAGTAACCTGTGAGTGTGCGTTGAAGGCACTGAGGTCGCCACGGTGAAGGAGTGGTATCAAGACAGGAGCGACTTCCTGGAGGAGAAGGAGGTGGACAATATCAATAAGGTCACCACAGAACGCTTCGGACACGGAAGAAAACGCCACCTGCTGTGTGAGCCTGCTTTCTGCAGCCATCAGAGGCGCTGCGTAGAAACATTTTCATGTTAGATTTTAATCCAGTGCAGCCGAAGGCACCTAAAATACATCTGACGAACACCAGCAGCTGAGTTTTATCCTAGAAATCATCAGTTTAAGGAAGTTTGACTCAGCTAACATCACAGCTCGGCTCAGGCTGAACATCTTTAATGTGCCGCTACACTCATCAGACACAACACAATGAAAATTTGCTATGCAAGATTTTTAGCCTATTGGTAGATGGTTCCTAGGTAACACGATGGCGCCATATTCTGTGATATAGATAAGAGCCGATGGGGCCTTTTTAGCTGCTCAGCGTCTGATTGTGGAGTTTGCAGACAAACAGACAGAGACAGACTTCATGTGTTATACCATCAGTCTAAGTCGGGGGTATTACTCATGACAAGCCGTTAGCCAATGAGCATGCAGTTTGATGGCCATACCCTCCCCCAAAACAGAAACAGCATCACGAGCGCTCAGTACGGGACTTCGTAGTCAATGTCATGATGGCGACGTCTGTCTTTCACACAGTCTATGATTTTTACTGACTGATTGATTTTGGCGTCAGCTGCAAGCTCCCGAGGAGCTCAGAAATGCAACTGAACGTTGTCACTTGCTCCATGTGTTTGAGCCTTCAGCAGCTTTGGAGTGACTCGTTCTAAATGATAATGTCAGAGAAGCGATGAACGAGTAAGCTGAGAGGAGGTGTGTTTCTTTTTCGTTCAGTTTTGAGGGTCAAATCGCTTACTCTGGGCACTGAGGTTGAAATGCACTTCAGCGGCGCTCGCGTTGACGACCTGGTGCGGAGGGTGCTGTCGCCGAAAGAATTAATCGAGCTCTTCGAAGGCCGGAGCGACTTCCTCCATTACCGGCACGTCTACTTCAAAAAACATGTCCAGCTGCTCAGCGAGAACTCACAAATGGAGGAAGTGCCCGTACTGGTAACAGGAAACAAACACACAGATCACTTCATAAATCGTACTAATCATTTGATAGTTT